TCCCTTCCCTTTGCCTTTGGACTCAAAATGATGAGACTTGAGCTTCTTCTTCCTCACCTGACCAGCTGCAGAGCCAGCACCGCCTCCTTCCCTGAATGGCATTCCCATGAGAGCCAATAGTTTCTGTCCTTCTTGATCGGTTTTGGCCGTTGTGGTTATGCACACATCCATCCCTCTTGCTTTCCCGATGGCATCAAACCTAACAATACCCACCATTATGTGAATTAAACCTTTGGATATATACAGCTATACTATGTAAAATCTGAAGCCCGAAACTTTGATAAAAAGCTGACGAGAATGTAGGATATCCATGTTAATTAACGAGTCATCATCTCACAAGAAAACTTGCAGCCATCGTCTCTACATATATACAGTAACTGTATCAGTTGAAAATGGTCTCCAAAGCTCATGATTTGGGTAAGGTTTGATCCCCCGATGAACCAAAGACTAGAATGGAGGATATCCATTTCAATTAAAATGAAGATAGATTGACCAGTAGACAAAGGGATCCATTTTTTTATAGTTTAAATTCGATGGTTATATAAGATGGTCTGTAGTTGGTTAAAAGGAATACCTGATTTCTGGAAACACACTCTGGTCACGGATGCCAATGCTGTAGTTCCCGTGCCCGTCAAAGCTGTTGGGGCTCACACCCTGGAAATCCCGGGCTCTTGGAAGGGCTAAGTTGATCAGACGATCCAAGAATGAGTACATTATCTGTCAAAACAACACAAGGAATTAGTGTTCCTTACACAAAGAAGCCAACTTCCGGTCAAACAAACTCAACTACATCAGAAATATGATGAGTAAAGTATGCAAACTAGCTTAAAGCATCCAGCTTTATTGTAGGGAAGTCGAGTTTTGAACACAAACGAGACACCAGAAACGGACAGTTGGAAGATTCAATAAAGAGCAAAATCTGGAAGGCTCACATTTCCTCTGAGGGTGACAGCAATCCCAAGAGGCTGTCCTTCCCTGATCTTGAAGGTGGCAATGGAAGCCCTTGCTCGTGTCTTTATGGGTCTCTGCCCTGTAATAAGTGCCATATCATTCACTGCAGACTCCAAACCCTTTGCATTTTGCGCTGCATCTCCGATACCACAGTTCACTACAATCTTCTCAATCTTTGGAACCTGTTAAAAAGATGTCGAAAAAACCAGAATTTCGGTTTGCAATTCCAAGCAGCAAATGCGACTTGACTAAGAATTGTGACCCGGAATTTAAAACTGAAACATGGAATCAGACTCAAAAATCATATTCGAGAATCAAAATTGCAACAGAAGGCGGACACCTAAAACAAGAGCTCACCGAACAATAACTCCTATAGTAAAAGGGTGTTCATCAAAACCAAGACACTCTGCAATATCAACCCGGATTAAGTTCAAGGTCTAATCGATCAAAGTTCCAGGCTTGATAAAATCCACACCCCTCGAATTCAAGCCCACTAAAACGTATAATCTTCCACAGTGCCAAGAACCCCAAAAGGACAAAAGGGGTAGGAGAATTGGATCTCACCTGGTGCACGTTAGTGTACTTGAACTCTTCTTTAAGCAAAGGAACAATCTTCTCGAGATAAGAGGCTTTTAGCCGGTGGGTCTTCTCGGCCTCTGACTTCTCTACCAGTACAGTACCGGAGGCCGTCCCCTTCACCCCCGCCCCTAAACCTCCATTCCTCGGCGGCGGCGGAAGAATCCGAGCTGAGGAAGGAGACGATAGTGTCAGGAACCGACCGTGAAAGGAAGAAGCAGTCGACTGCAGAAGCGAAGGGCACGACATTGTCGACGCTCTGCGAAGCTCTCGAGTGGATAAAGTTGCGGGCAGAATTGGGTTCGTCGTCGTTAATCTGCGAAGGTAATGGCATTTTCGTAATATCTTGATATATGAGGATAAGGATTTTCTTGTTCACCCCACGAATCAATAACTCTCTGTTATCACGCCCCGTATAATTGATTCGAACAAAAGGAACCCCAAAGCTTTTATCTACAATAAATCCCAGATTTTATACTTGATCCAGATGCAAATTAGTATGCTTAAAAACTAATTTGTTATGAAATTTTCATAAAATATATTTTGAAATGGTGAAATATTTACCGTATATTGCACATGCAAAGGGGGGGGGTATTTGGGAATTCCAAAATTTAACGGTCATTAGAAAGATATTAAGGCGATAAAATATTTAAATGAACTCACGGCATAAAACGACGACGTCCGAGTAACTCTCCCGGCCCACTATTGGGCCATACCCGTATTTGTAATCGGGTTTCGAATCTGTATCATATCGTCGTCATTCTACAAGACCGTCTCTTACCAGTGCCGATTTACCTCACTCTCTCCCATCCCTCCGTCGCTGCTGTATCTCCTTCTTTCCTTCTCTCTTCTTCTCCGATTTGCCTCACTCGGCACTGCAACTCGCTTGGACAGCCATGGCGTTTCCGTACATGGAAACCGTCGTCGGTAAGCTTCTGCTTCTTGTCGAGAAAACTCGTCTCTCAGTATCATATCGTCTCTTTTTATCTCGTTTGGTTTTCCTTCGTTTTTGTCTCATCGCGTTTGAGACTCCGTGTATGGTTTCTTGGTCCATTTCTCTTACCTTTTTGCGGGTTCTTCTTGCCGGTTGCAGCATCTTGATCTGGTTTTTTCTTGATCGAACTATTCCCTATCTTGCGTGTTTGTTTTCGTCCGCTATCTATGGTTCTCGTGATCTCTACATCATCTGCTCTAATTATTAGTGTATACGAAGCTTTATGCATACAGTATGCATCTCTGTTTAGGATTCCTTAGGGTTTGGGGTGAAAACAGTTGGCAACTCATGCGATGGGAGTTGTTGGGGCAGATGCTTTCGTTTCTTCTAGGTTTTGTGTTAACCGGACCGATTTTAAGGAGAAATTTAGAGCTGGGATAAGAATTTTGGTGCCTTTTGCGAACGTGAATAAATGCACGAACTCCATTTTTGGAAATGTCTTAGTGCGCCTATCGAGCAGATAGTTGCATAAATTGGGATCCTATGTTTGTAGATACAGATTGCTCAGCGAGAATAGTTATTGTAGGAGTGCTTGGAGCGAGTTGTTGAAGGAATTAGGCCATGACAACTCTTTTTCTTCAACATGTTAAAACGCATGAATGACACTTGTTCTTTTTATTAAGAATGAAACTGAATTAGGAAAGGAAGGAATTGCATCTGGTGGATGGAGAAGCAGAAGAGAAGGAATATAACTGAAACTTTCAATTATGCCTTAGTGTGTGGTTTATCCGAATCATATCTGTTCTTCTCTTCTTTCTTACAGGGTTTATGATAATGATGTACATATTTGAAACTTACTTGGATTTGCGGCAACATGCTGCTCTCAAGCTGCCAACCCTCCCTAAAACATTGGTAGGACTAATTGGCCAGGAGAAGTTTGAGAAATCTCGAGCATACAGTCTTGACAAAAGGTTTGTCTCCTTTTTTTTGCTTATCTGTGGTTGTAGTTGAAGGGGAGCCTTGGCTCACGTGTAAGGTGTTGTCGTTGTGACCTAGAGGTCACGGGTTCGAGTCCTGGAAGCAGCCTCTTGCAGAATATTATGCAAGGTAAGGTTTGCGTACAATACACCCTTGTGGTGGGACCCTTCCCCGGACCCCCGATCAACGGGATGCTTTGTGCACCGGGCTGCCCTATCCTGTGGTTGTTGTTAGTGTCTTATAATGTTGAGCATCTTTCTTGTCTCTTTCTTGTCTCTGGACCACTAAAATGTTGGTGTCTCTTATTTTCTTCCATATCCATCATTTCAGTTACTATAACGTCTTCTGAGATCGTTGCTTTTGTTGCCTTTTTTCAGCTATTTTCACTTTGTTCAAGGATATGTCACCATTCTGATGGATTCTGCGATTTTGTTCTTCGGGATATTACCTTGGTTTTGGAAGGTACATTATTTGACATATTATATTGGGTTTGGGTCTCCTGTAATATTAATATGCAGCCTTACGATGATCTTAACTTTTCATTGTTGTTTCAGAAATCAGGAGATTTTCTGCCTTCAGTGGGTCTTGACCCAGAGAATGAAATACTGCACACTCTTT